ATAAAACAAATTTTTCTAGTTCTTAAAAGTAAAAGCTATAATCTAGTCTTCACATTTTTCTCTGTGATGACTAGATTTTTATTAGGTTATACATGTGATATTTATTGCACAAGAAACAAAAACCTGCAGAGTTCAGGAAATCATTTTTTAAAGACATGGATTCTAAAATCAGGTCTATTTTTAAAAATCATGTGATTTTGTTAACAGTTAAACATATTCAGTTCTATAACTTCTGATCACTTTTCAAAAATATATACGTTTAACTTTTTTAAAAAAGTGGGAATTATGTTAGGAGATTAAATAGACTTCACCATTTAAAAACTAGCTTTAAAACCATATACATCTATGGGTATATCATATGCAGATATATATGATATCCTAAAATTCACTACATTTGTTATTTTATGGCAATGCTTAAGATATATATACAAATCCCCATAAACCCTTCGTTCTACTTACAAAAGGTATGCCAGCTTCCCTGTTTCTTTGCACTACTTCTTTCACTACATCTAATGATGTATAATTCCAGCGACTCAGTTGGAATCCAAGACTCCAATAGGCAGGCATTGCTGGTAGTCCAATGAGCTTGAGGTAAGTTGACATTAAATTAGTTTCAATAAAGAGAAATTCATTCAGCATTAGTAACTAAAGAGTTTTTTATTCTGCTATATATCTAGAATTTACTTAATTATATATTGTAAATAATTATTATTACCTGCATTTAAAAATGTTTCCTAAATATTGTTAGAATTTTGTTTGTGAAACATTTAAGAAATTTATGTTCTGTGCCTCATTTGTTATTTTTCATTAAAAATTAGAAAATGATGGCCCAGCACAGTGGCACACAACTGTAATCACAGCTGCTGCAGAAGCTGAGGCAGGAGGATTGCAAGTTCAAAGCCAGACTCAGCAAAAGTGAGGTGCTAAGCAACTCAGTGACACCGTGTCTCCAAATAAAATACAAAACAATGCTGGGGATGTGGCTCAGTGGTCCAGTGCCCCTGAGTTCAAACCTTGTCCCCCCACCACATACAAAAAAAATTAGAAAATGAAGCATTCAAGAAAGTAATATTTGACAAAATATATTTTGTCTAATCATAGAAGGGGAAAGAAAAGAATAAAAAGATATCAAATAAAATATAATAGAATGAAAGGAAAATTTTCCCAGGGTACCCCCACCTCTCATTAGAACAAAAACATCATCATTCATCATTGCAGACAAAAACATGTTTAAAATTGCAGTTTGCAGTTTGTATTCCCTTACATTTTGTCATTTATTTCCTTTTTAGTTAGTTTGTTTGTTTTTTGATTTTTGTTTTGTGCCAGGGATTGAACTCAGGGGTGCTTAATCACTGAGCAACATCCCTAGCCCTTTTTTTTTAATTTTTTTTTTATTATTTCTTACATACATCACAATAGAGGAGTGCATTACAATCATAATTTTTTGCATTGCCCAGCCCTTTTATTATTTATTTTGAAACAGGGTCTCACTAATATGTTTTGTGTAGAAAGTAGGCTTATTTTCTACACAAAGAACTACACAATAGGGCCTTGCTAAATTGCTGAGTCTGGCTTTGAACTTGCAATTCTCTGGCCTCACTTTCCTGAATCTCTGGGATTACAGGTGTGTACCAACAGACCTGGCCTTTTGGCAGTTATTTCTTTTCAAGTTTTCAAAAAGTTACTCAAAATACATGTTCTACAAGGTTTGCAACCAGTTACTGCCTAGAATTTGTCACATGCAGTGTCTTGGCCGCTTTTCTTCTTCCTAGGCCAAAGGGATCCCTTTCTCCCCTCATTTCCATAGTTGTCAAAGCAAGCCCAGTACAGAATTTCAAGATAGCATCATTTTCTCATCACAGAATAAGACACAAATTTGTATGTGGAAATAAAGATATAATTGCTATAAAACTGTTTATTGAAAATTTGGATTTAGGTTACTTTATGACAAATAATCTAACTAGGCATAATAGTTCTCTTTAGACTAAAAAAATACATATATATGTACATATACATGTATATAAAATACATATATACCCATGATTTCCTTATAATCTATAGCTTAAAATCTATAATGCAAAATTTTTAAAAAATTACTCATGCTTGTTTTTATTCATACAAAGAAATATTAAATTTATCTTTAAAATAATTTCATGTCTAATAAATCTCCAAATAAAAGTATTCATTTTCCAACTATATTCCTAAATATTTCATATTTCATAGAATTATTTAAATACTTGGACATGTGATTGAAATTTCTTCTTATAGATATGATATATATATGTGTATATATACATGTAAAGTATACACACACATACTGCACATACATATATACATTATAAATTTAATGTTTTGCATAAGTATTTTATTCATTTTCCCATTAACTGTCTCCTATTTATCTTATACTTTGTATGCATGCATGGTTTTTAAAACTGATAAAACCATCTAGCCACTCAAATGAAATCTATTTAAAATTTTAACATACTAAAAACTATGTTGGCAATATATAGAGAAGATGATTTCTTTTTCTTCAAATAAAATTTAAGTTTTTTCTGCCTACTTTCTACACAATTTGAGTCATTTAAATTCAGCAGTGATTTCTAGTGCTATATTCAAGCCTCGGCAAGTCTACCCATAAAATATTGTAAGAAAATATATCATTATGCCAATATATATGGTATATTCAGATATTCGATAGTACTAAAACTCAACTATTGTTTACCACAAATTTGGCTCAGCACTTAACAATGAGCTACAGGAACTAATGTTTGACAATCAAAATGTCAGGTTTTTTTGTTTTTGTTTTTTTTTGGTGGGTGGGGAGGCAAATACTAGAAATTAAACTCAAGGACACTCAACCACATTCCCCAGCCTTAATTTATATTTTTTATTTAGAGACAGGGTCTCACTGAGTTGTTTAGCTCCTCACCATTGCTGAGGCTGGCTTTGAACTCCTGTCTCAGCCTCACGGGCATTGGAATTACTGGCATACACCACTGCGTGCAGTTAAAATGTCAGTTTTTTTTTTTTTTTTAAAGAAAAATATACTGTTTGGACATACAAGTATCACACACAGAATTTCTCTTTATATGAAAGTCCAGAATGATAATTACAATTTTAAATTAAAGAGATTGTAAATATTTTTGTGATTCTTTTCCAAAATTCACATTTATGAATAGATTTGGAAATTTTCAGACATAATTAGTAAACTAACTGGGTAAAACTCTAACTAGTCTCAACTAAGATTTTTAGATCCTTTTCTCAGAATTTTTTTGACAGGTATTATTTCTTAGAGTTAAGTTTTGGAAATAGAATTATAAATTAAGAAGTATATCATGAAAAGAAGGTTTTTAAAACAGTTATGGTCCTTGAATCTTATTAAAAATAATTTCCTTTTCCCAGATGTGTTTAGCTAAGAGGTCCCTGATATGTAAAGAAAAGTTATTCAAATATGTGGACTTCCTAGACAAAGAAAAAATATAACAAAATAATTTTTAAAAATAGGCTTGAAACGTACCTCTTGATACTGTTGAACTACTTGTTCTGGAGTATCTCCTAGGAAGATATAAAAGTCCAGAATGCCACCAGTAACTCTATAAGTTACTATTGGAGTAGGCTGGATGAAAATCTCTGTAAAATAAAAATTGGTAAACTATATTTAAATGGTGAAAAAAATACTTAATAATAAAGCAATTGCAATGTACATTTAAAATATTTTACATAAGTCATATTATTTCACACTCTTTTAAATAGTTAAAAAGAAATCTAACATTGAATACAGGAATACTGTAGTAGAAAAGTAGAATGCCACCATGAATAAGAGGAATAGACCTCTTAACAGCAAAAACACTGTTTTTCTAAAACTAAAATTTCAATTAGTCATTTCAATTCAAGACTCCTTGAGAGATCATAGCACCACATATTAATTTCTAAGAAGAAAAAATATGAAGGTTTTTAATTTAACTTCCTTACATATAATTGACTTGGTATCCATGTAATATACTGCTCCCGAAGGAACATTAATTTTTGTAACATTTTATTAACACTGACTCACCTATTAAATAGATATTCCACTTTACAATATTAAAAAAGCAAAAGATTCTACATTATTTGAAGTATAATAAGCTAAAATATTACTCTTTCTTTTTTCTATCCCCATAGAGATCTTTCTTTTTTATATTTGGAGAAGCATATTATCTTATCATGACAAATGATGCTGTGGGGATGAGAAAATTAATTTGTGTGGGTATGTTTCCATGTTGCTCTGAAGGGAAAAGAAAGCACCTGTATGTCAAAGCATAGCATACTCTCCCCAAAATAGAAACATTGATATGCAAAAATCTATTGTCTCACTAATTTCAAAACCTACTTACAATAATTTTGCATCCTAAGATCATTTATAATAGAGTTTACTCAATTTTTATTGCAATCTCAATGATTGCAATAAAAAGAACAGTTAAACATATCAAGATAATTTCATGTAAGCATGTTATCAGAAAGATCAATCTTACCCATTGCATTGCTGTTCATTAAGAAAACACCAAATGACTTTCCAGAAGTGTCTTCAATGCACATGAAGAATGTCTGATGGCCATATAAATTATTATTATTCTAGAAAGCAAACATTAGAAAATTAAAATTTTAAAGTAATGATTAAATATATTAAAATGACCTTTATAAGTTCATTTGTTTCTGTAACCTATACCCCCTATATCTCTATACCAATATTCTTCATTATTTGTATCATATCAAACTTAGGCACAAGTTTTTTTAATTGTTTTAATTAGTAATTTTATATTAACATGTGAGATATACAGCATACATATTATTTTAATAGGCCATTTGCATTTTTATGTATTTTATAATTAAATAGGTTTTAATATATTATTTATGAGGAATAATAACATGTATATCCATTACACCTCATGTATGCACAACAAACTAATGGATGACTATCCTCATAGAACTTTTGCATATATTTGTTGATTGCTGATGAACAATAGAAGTAGTGGATGCAAACTGTATAGACACTGAAAGGTGTAAGATGAGACACTTCTTAACTGATTGGATGTGGAAGTTTAAAGAAAAAAGTGGATGTAAAGTAGGGATGAAGATTTTAGCCTGAGGGATATTACAGATAGTCATGTTATAAATAAAGATTGGTAGAATTTATTAATAGCTCAGTACCAAGTGAAGCTCCTTAAAACAATCATTTACTTGTTCATTTTGGAGAATGAAATAGCACTGACATTTAAAAAATAAAAAACATCATTAAAAAATTATTTAATGACTATAGTCTTTGTCCTCAAGCATCTCAAATTCTAGAAGAGGAGACAAATATATAAGAAATAAAGCATGGTGATTATTGATGCACTAAGGTTTTTATATGAGGGAGACTTCAGCTGAGCCTTCAATGATACATTGTATAAAGGATAAACCACCCTAAGTTTCAGGAGGTAAAAAAAGAAACACAACTGGCTTGCAGTAATTCAAAGTTATGGAAGATAATCACATGTTATGTTCAGAAGAAGGGGACAAAAGTGCACTTTGGCGTTCAAAAGATAGAAAAACACCAAATCACATAAAATTTTGTGCAACATGATGTTTGAAACTATTCTAGCTTAATGGGTTTGAATGCAAGGGTAATTGAAAAAAAGAATGATAAAATATAAATATGAAAGTCAAAATAAAACATTCATAAATAGGAAATGCCTCTTGAAACATTCACAAAAATCTAGCCATCACTGAGCCAATTTAGGATTTAGCTATCTGTCCTCACCCCTACAACAAATATGATTCTGGATTATATGTTACTAATACCCGAATAATTTATTTGGTAATGTCAAAATGATAGCTTAAAATAGTTTAGCTATTTAAAACTATCAACTGCTTCAATGTAATGATTTTATTTATAACAAGAAAGATAATTTCTTACATCACCCGGAAGTTGATCCCGAGTAAATATTGGCCATCTTTTCCAATATAAATCATGACGGAATCTCTTATGAATATGCTCTCCAATTCCATAAATATATTCATTGGGAAGTCTGGTTGAAATCTGTAAATATTGGTCAGAGTACACCAGGGGACCAATGCTGGTATCAAATCTAAATCATGAACGAAAAAAATAAATTACATAGAAACATAAAAAATGTTATACCAAATATGGGCTTTTATTAATACTATACAGAATATTTCATTTTAGAGATGTCAGTCTTTTGCTTGGTCACCTTTTAAGGGCATACAAATTACCCTGCAACCAGGGGTTGTTTGCTGCATCAACACAGTTTCATTAAAGCAATTTTTTTCACATGCATTCTTTCCTTTAATCTTCATCACAACCCTAAAGCATAATTAACATTATTAACCCCATTTCACAGATAATACATTCTTGGAAAATAAATTCATGTTTATTTCATGGAGGTAAACAGTAGACAGACAATATTTCAAACTGAGTTCTTCCTTGTTCCCATGACTGAGATTTATAATACAACATTATACTGGCTTTTAAACATCTAACATTATGCTATAATTAGCTTCAAATTGATTTTTTTACAACTATAAATATCATTTCATATTTTATGCAGGCCAGATATATACTACAAGGAATGCTAATTGGCCAGGCATGGTGGTGCATGCCCAGCGGCTTGGGAAGCTGAGGCTGGAGGATCATGAGTTCAAAGCCAGAACTAAGCAAATCAGTGAGACCCTGTCTCTAAATAAAATACAAAATAGGGCTGGGGATGTGGCTCAATGGTTAAGTGACCCTGAGTTCAATCCCTAGTACAAAGAAGGAGGAGGAGAAGGAGAAGAAGAAGGGAATACTAACTTGCATTTAAGACTTTTCATTTTTGTTGGTAAATTATAATTTTATGCATTTATTTAATACAATGTGAAAATTTTAAGTACATTATTGAATGTAAATCAAGCTATTTAACATAGCCATCATCATACATTTTACTATTTTGTATTGTGTGAGCATCTGGCCTCTATTAGTTCTGAAGGATACATTAAATTATTATCTACTAAATTCACAATGCTGTGCAAAAGACTTTGAAAATTGTTTTTACTATCTAACACTTTTCCACAATCTTTTTATTCTGCACCTCTTCCCAGACCCTTGTAACCACCATTTCACTCTTTGCTTCTTTAAAGTGAAATTGTACAGCATTTTTACCTCCATGCCTGGTTTATTTCTCTTAGGATCTAATATTTTTATAATATAGCACAATGTTAATTGCAAAAATATTGAAATATATTTGTTGAAAGTCATTTCTGAGATTGCACTTTACAATTAACATTTCTTAGGAATGGAAGAATATTTATCTTGAAAAAATTTACAGGAAATTACTAAGTTCCTTCCACCAATTAACCCCCATCCCCAGTCAATACATTCAAAATGAAGGTGTTCAAGTGATATTTAACATGTACAAGAAAATTTAATATTAATTACTGGTCAGTAAATAGAAACCTTGTGATCCTGCAGGTTATTAACAGATTAATTAGGACAGAACACGGAAAAATTTTACATATGCAAAAATATAGGCAAGGCAGTAATTAGGTGGGTGATTCTCTCCACCTTTATCTTTGCTTGGCTGGAATTCCAATTTTCTCATTTATATTTAGTATGTTGCATGCACAGAAAGGAAAACTGTCTTGAAATCATAATCTTTAAAAAGTTCTATCTCACTTTCTTTGGGGAGAAAATTTATTCTTTGTGATATTACCTTGACATTGACATCCCAGTTTTTAAATTCATAATAAATGTAAATTAAAATCAGTACTTACAAAATTCTGCTATTGCTTTTCCTAATAACTTTGATGCTGAAAGGATTTTTTTGAACTTGTACATCATACAGTGTTTCAGAAGATGTGGGTCCAGTAAATTCTTTTACAAACTGATGAGGAACTTCATATCTTCTACTATTTGGATCTGTAATCTGCAAAGATTTAAAGAAATTAGCATTACTTAGTTTTAAGACAGTATTCAATTTTTGCATTACAAATGCAGGCACTAAATAGAAAATAACTTTAGCCGTGTGAATTAAATTATTCTTAGTGTTCTTTAATGTTTACCTCCTTAGTGCCTTAGAATTTTTAAATGTACTTAAAGAAATCTTAGGGCTGAAGTTATATGTATGGTAGAACCATTACCTACTATGCATGATGCTATGGGTTCAATACCTATATTCACCAAAATAGATGAATAAATAAAATTTCAAAATAACTCAATTCTTGTGAAATTTTTCCAAAAACACAAGTAAACAAGTATTCACAGTGCATGGTGCTGTTTCAATTTCCAAACTTAAAAAAAAAAAAAAAAGATCAATTAAGCAAAATGCAATAGGAAGTAGTAAAACCAAGCATAAAAGGAAGTAGTAAAACCTAGCTCTAAAAATAAGAAATAAAAGTTGCATTCACAGCACTATTAACATTTTTCTTCAAATTATGTTTTAAACTAATATTTTGTCACAAAATTTGAAATTAAAAAATATTATTATTTATGGAGTACATATTCTCCTCAAGACAACATGTTAAATATTTTACCTGGATTATGTTATTTAAATTCTTCAAAGTAATGGCAGGAGAAGCTATTATTCTTAAGTTATATTTGAACAAACAGGCTCAGATATTTGGAGTAACTAGTTTAATTAATTATTTGCCTTGCAATAAATATTTCTTATGAAGGAAAATGTATGGATAAGGTAAAGAGTGTGTTCATAGAACATTTTTAATTATTAAATTTTCTTTAGAAATAGAAAAAAACAAACCTTGAACCGGAAACGATTGGGTGTCTGACTTTGAGTTGTAAGGAGGACGTTATTAATGTCCTTTCCAAATAGTGTAGGAGAAGCTATCCTGTTTAATTTGGTTTCAAGTCCTTAAACAAAGAAAACAAACAAGGATGAATGAATTTAGTCATAAACAGCTATTAAATATTTGAATATTTCTAATTGTATTAACAACTATTAAATATTGACATATTTATAATTATATTCATCACAAATATGAGGTTTTTTTTAATTTGGAAGATAAAATCATGGAAAAAATAAATAGTATAATCAACTTGAACATTTCAGTATGTACTTATTTCATGTTATTTACAATATTTTCCAAAGAAAAACTTGAAAGTACGTTTTTTTCACTAGGAATGCACTATATTCAGTCATCATGACATAGCACGTCTCACCAGTACTACTTGTGGTTGATTCTTCCGCATTATAGCCATGGTTATCCGAGAAGAAGCACCAAGGAACAATAGAGTCATTCCGTGGCCTCCAGCAGCAGCCTCGTTGTGCACAGATTGCCTGATAAAATATTTTGTAAAATAAAGTATTTTATAAAAATAAATACTATGATTAGAGGTACTGTCAGATAACCTAGTCTTTTGCCACTAAATGAACATTTAAAAAACAAGATTATTTCTTCAAATATAAAACATACCCATGTATCATTTATTTTTTTATTATTTTTACATGGAAGAGATGTAAATATTTGATGACTTGAATTAATTATACCATATTAAATATTGATGCTCTGAGTTTGATTTATTAAATTCATGTGTTCCTGCATGTTATTGTTAGCTCATCTATTTTTAAGGTTCATACTCTCTGGGTAATTATAAGGAACTCTGTTGTCATGATGTTGATGAACAAGAATTGAAATGCTTATTTTGTATTAATTATGTATCAATTTGTGGGTGATACATAATTAAGATGAAGATAAAATTATAAATTCAAGACTTAAGATAGTTATTTTTAACTATTTAATAGTTCAAAATATAGCTATTTAAACTATTTTAACTAGTTTATATGCTAGGTGTCACATCTAGTTATTACAGCTGCATTCAATGAGTGCAACAAAATACTGAATTCTTAGAAAATTTTATTCTTTATATGGAAAGCGTATATGAAGCGGAAAAAAACTATAAATGTTAATATAAATAATATTTATATTAGCATGTTAAATGCTAATATAAATAATCAAACTAATGCTCTTATGTATCAATAATGATGTAATCACCAATCTACTTACTATCAAAATTTAATAGTGTGACAGATCTTTATAATTTGAATACTTTTTTTCTTGGATTTTTTTTATCAAAGTTTCCATGTTTAGTCAGCTGAAGATATACATAGACCTCTCACCTACTTTCCTAGCAAATTAAAGTGGCTTTAGAAACACACACACACACAATACTGCTAGCAAATGTGCATACACACACACACACACACACAAACATATGCAAATGAGAATACAATTGAATCTGATGAATCCAAGAATCAAGAGGATTGTTTCCAAGAGGAAACAATATTTAGGCCCTTTTATCAGAAACTAAGGTATATGTTACTTTAATCTGGTAATTTTGCCTCTAGTTATCTAAACTATAGAAATACTTCCAAAAATAGAAAGCTGCTGACTTTACAAGAACTATTATTTACAGAAGTCTAAGATATATTTTAAAACCATTACTACAAAACCAAAGGGTAGTTCTAGACATAGGTAAATGATTTGAAAGAAGTGTAAATGTATTGTTTAAAGACAAAAAAAATGGAATATTATAATCACATTCTAACAAAAATTTAAGATTTCAGTACAATAGACTTACATTAATTTTTTTCCAGATATACTGTATTAGTGTCTTAGGGTTGCCATAACAACATGGTAAAAGATGGCTTAAAGCAACAGAAATTTATTTTCTCATAATTTTGGAGTTTAGAAGCTCTAACTCAAGGTGTCAGGAAAGCTATGCTACTTTTGAAGATTCTAGGGGAAAATTTTCCCTTGTCTATTCCTAAACTTCCATTAGCTGTCAAACCTTGGCATTTCTTGGCTTGTATTTTCATAGCTCCAATCTCTGCTTCCATCTTCACAGAAGATCTTTCTTCTTTGTCTCTGTGTATAGTCTCTTCCTCTTGTAAGGTCCCCAGTCCCTAGATTTAGGGTGCATCTTAATCCAGTGTGACTTCATCTTAACTAATTACATCTGCAAATCCCTTATTTCCAAATAAGGTCACATCTGGGGCTTTAAATGGACTTAAATTTTTGAAGAATATCATTTAACTCACTACATATACATACCAAAGTATTATATATATGTATATGTATGTGGATGTGTATTTTGTATTAACTTAAAAGCATATATTTCACAGTTAAAGTTATCCAGTCTCTTGTATTTTGTTATGGCAGCCTGAGCTGACTAATACACTCTGGGTGAAATTATGGCTGTTTTTAAAATTATCATGTTGACTCTTTCATAATTTTTCATTATGATAAAATAAATATGCATGTCTTTTATAATAAAATCATATACAAACGTTTACTATAACCAATTCTTTATTTTTAATTATTTTGTAAACATGATCCATTTTCATAGATATAGAATCCTAAAGAGAATTTTTCAACTAAGAAAACTTAAGGAAATTTATAGATGTTTATCATTTTGATTAAATTAAATCTTATCCACCTTGATTGGACCAAATAATATTTATTCAAATAGTATGCCTCTCATATTTAAAATTTCAAGTATAAATTATTGCTTTAAGTGATTACTTGAGATGATGAAAGGTAACATTTGAATGTATTTTAAAGAATCTTACAATGTGTTAATGAGAAAATATTATCAAAATCATAAAATGATTAATAACAATTTTTTTTAAAAATTAAGTGATGGAGTTTGAATTAAAATCCCATTTGAAATTTAATTTTCCTAAAAAAGAAAAAGAGGAAACAATATTTAGGCCCTTTTTACTTTTTTATTCACTCGTCATTTATTTTTAATCAATTTTCTTTCTTTCTTTCTTGCTTATAGATTTTTTAAAAAATAAATGACAGCGGAATGCATTACGATTCTTATTACACAAATACAGCACAATTTTTCATATCTATGGTTATATATAAATTATGTTGACACCAATTCTTGTTTTCATACAGGTACTTTGGATCATAATTTTCTATAGTAGAAAAGTATTACCTTGTAAAATCATTCAGTTAGAGAAAATTGTAAAATCCTGGCTAATGAAGAATGACTACTGAGTTCACGGAACATAAGGTAACATTGAACACTACAGTTCTAATTCCAGCTTTGTCCATCACTAACAGAATGAGCCGGTCATATTCATTTAAAATTGTAACACACTCTTAAGTTCTCATATAAATCTAAAATTCAACGAATGAGATTTTGTTTCACATCAGAATCTCATCAAAATTATTTTGCTACATTTAACTTTTTTTAAAGATATCAAGAAAACATTGAAATTCATTTGAGGACTTGGAGCATAATTCAGTGGAATCAGTTGAGATAAACTAAGGTAAGCTTTCAAAATAAGTTCACTTTGGCTATTGTAAATCACATTTATTACAGCACAATTCACAATAGCCAGATTATGAAATCAGCCTGAAGGCCTGTCAATAGAAGAATAGATCAAGAAAATGTGGTATATGTGCACAATGGAGTTTTACTCAGCCATAAAGATGAATAAAATGATGGGACCTGTTGGAAATGGATGGAAATGAAGAAAACTATGCTAACTGAAATAAATCAGATGCAGAAATCGAGGATTGAGTATTTTACAGCATAGGCAAAAGCTGGAGTGAAATAAGGGAAATACTGGAGAGATCAGATACATAAAAATTTATGGAAGATCGGTGGAGAAGAAAAAGGAGATCTAGAGGGAGGGAAGATAAATGGGAAAGGGAAGGAAATATGGAATGAATTTAACAAAATCCCATTATATGCCTGCATGAACATACCACAGGAAAATTCATCTTTATGTATAAGCAGAAAGTACAAACCAACAAGTAATAGATAAATGAGTGAAAGGAAGATGGTAGAGGAGGAAGATTAAAGGGAAGAAGGTGGGGAGGTTCAGTGGGGGAAATGGGGAGTGAAACCAAATTCCTTACAAGTATGATTTTGTCAAAATACACCCAACTGCTATGCATAACTATAATGCTCTAAATAAAAACAAATAAACAAACAAACAAATAAATAAATAAACTTACTTCATTTTCTTAAACAGCAAATGCAAGTATATTTGTGGAAAATTAATGAATGTAATTAACAAGTTTAATTTGTCTCACATTGAAACCTAACAGGTTAGATTGACATTAAAGACCAGTGGTAGGCATTGACATCCTAAATCATTGGCTTAAATATTTTTTCTCTATTTGAGGCACACTATTGTTTCTAATAGTATTCTTCATTAAGCTTCAGTTGTTTCTCCAGTAACATGTTAACAAGATAGAATACCTAGTCAGTTTCCTCCATAGGTCACAGTAAAAACCATTAATTAGCTTTTTGATCAGAGAGTAAGATATAGGAACTAGTATTTCTCCTATTTCTGCTATTTCTATTTCTGTGTCACTGAAGAAATTATCATGCATTTGCAATTTTTGTTGCAAATTAATCAGAAAATTATGTATAAATTATGACAGCAAAAAAGGTAGGATGAGGCTAACAGAAATAGAAATTTTATAGTTAGTTTAATTATCTTTTTTTGTGGTGAGAGAGTGAGAGAGGTAAGGTTTAGACATGCATATTAGATAAGTTGCTAACCATGGAGACAGATATACATGTGCATATTCATTAATCTATTTCCTACACAGTTTTTTTAATAAAAAGGAAGAGTTGCTGTGCACGGTGGTACATGTCTATGATCCCAGCAGCTTGAAAGGCTGATGCATGAAGATTGCAAGCTCAAAGCCAGCCTCAGCAAATTAGTGAGACCCTAAGCAACTTTACTAAAACCTAAGCAACTTAGCGAGGTACTGTCTCAAAATAAAACAAAGAAGGCTGGGGACACAGCTCAGTGATTAAGCAACTCTGGTTCATTCCAGAGTACAAAAAAAAAAAAAAAAAAGAAAGAAAGAAAGAAAAGAAAAAAAAAGTGTCAGTTTAGGGTTACACATATCCAATCAGCTATCTTTAATTTTCTTTGTTGTGTTTTTTCCTCTCCTAATTGCCAAATAATCAAAAAATGTTACTTTTTGAAAAAATAAGAGTTCTTTTATTTTCTGTAGATTCTTTCTAATGCCATCATTACAAATACTCTAATAGAATATAGACATTCTCATGCAAACATTCCATATTTTCAAGTTATATACTTTTTAAAGAAATCAATATAAGAGATTAAAATATTATAAAGGTTTGTAAAATAATAATAACTAGTTAAACATGAAGGAAATTTAGTTTGTTAATTTGAATTGAACAGAGGTCTGGAAAAGCAAGCTCAGTTATTTCAATTATCTTTCATTTATTTATATGGAGCAACAAAAAAAATGGCCTAATTTATGTTTAGGTTCTTAAGTATATGTAATTATCTAGTATTGAGCAATTATCTTAATATAATGATCCACAGAAACATTAAGAATTGTTTTTACAGACCTCTGTTGGAAATTGGTCTGGAATGCAGCTTATTCTCTCATTGATGGGATCATTTAATGCAGCAGGACATTTTCCTACACCAGCTGGAGTTGAAGTAGGATGACTCAATTCTGGGAAAGAGAATATTCAGTAAAATAAGACATGACATCAAATTATTTCCACAGACTTTTTCAAGTAATACACACTTTATGTTAAAAGAATACAGGAATCTATACAAAACAAAAACTTTAAAATAAATTTTGCATTTACGAAGACCCCAAAACTCAAGCCCCAGTAATAGTAAAGACAAGAACCAAGTAATATTTTAATACTAGAGTCTGTAATTTCTAGATGCCAGGAACTATCTTAACAAAGTAGTTATTTCAATTGTATCCTCTCTTTTCAAAACTATTTCATTATTTATTTAGATATTGTTTAGTAACTGTTTCATCTGAATCAGTGAAACTTAAATTTTCACTGAAAAATAAAAAGAGAAAAGAGAATTTTTTAAACTTTTGCAAGAACTAACAATTAGAGCATAATATTTCATATCAGTGTAGAATCTTGCTGTCTCATTCTTCAGGAAAACAAAATATATTCAGAGATTTAAAAAAGTACATTCACAATGAACTTACAATTTGTGTTTTACAGATGAAGAAAGAAGATAGAGAAACATCAAATCTGAGAAGAGTGCAGAGAAGTTCACAAGAGATTGGGAAACAGAAAAACAGGAGAAAGAAGATACTTTGAAGGGAAAAAATGTATAGATAGAGAACAGAAAGTTGGGAATAGCAAAAACAAATAGATAAGAAAGAATATTATAGGAGCCCGACCCCACAGTATGTAGATCGTAGCCAACTTTTTCTTCTATCAGACGGCGTGTCTCTGATTTGATATCAAGCTCCTTGATCCATTTTGAATTCACTTTTGTGCATGGCGAGAGAAAGGGATTCAGTTTCATTTTGTTGCATATGGATTTCCAGTTTTCCCAGCACCATTTGTTGAAGATGCTATCCTTCCTCCATTGCATGCTTTTAGACCCTTTATCAAATATAAGATAGTTGTAGTTTTGTGGATTGGTTTCTGTGTCCTCTATTCTGTACCATTGGTCCACCC